CGTCTTGACGACACATCTCCAATGTGTGCAGGTTTGCCTCTCGCGGTTTCTGTTACTTACTTACTTACTTACTTACTTACTTTTGAGATTTCCGACTGATGCGGTTTCTGTTGTAAATATATCCATCTAATATCAACTGCTTACTTCCACGCCGAGAGGTGATGATAATGATACGTACCCCAAGATCATATTTATTTGTTTGATAAGTAGATAATCTAACCTCAACTCCTTCAACTGATCACACAGTAAGGCAATAAAGCATCGCCATAGTTTACATAGTTAATCTCATGCCTAATGAACCTGTTCTGAGAGTAAGGTAATTTAGGTTAATTGAACGAAATTGTAACATATATACTCCCTAAACTGTGAGTCCCCTATCCCTACTCAGTACTTTAATCTAATTAGGACTGATCCATTACACCTGTAGGTATATTCCCTCTTTGCCTAAATAAAAATGTCAAACAATTGGGACGTCTAACTGATGGGACGTCTAACTAATGGGATATAACCATGTTGGATGGTAGTTTGGTTGGCTGATTGGTTGGTTGTTGGCTTAGTTTGTTGGCTGGTTGGCTGAGAGCGTAATGTATTCCGGCGCATTTAGCACATTTTGCAAAATAATCACGTTGCTGGAAATCAAACATGGGCTTGATGTCAGATTAGAACTCGATTCTCCAGAGCGACCTCCAAACATCGACTTGAATAACAGACTTATGTCCCTTCCTCCACAAAACACAATCTTCTCATTCGCTAGGGAAACTAGAAGTAATACAACTTCACATCTGCGATAAGAGTGATGCAAAAGCTGACGATAACTCTCACTGCAAGTGTAAGAAAGTATCACGATTTCGGCTGAAATTTAAAATGCCTTGCAACATGCATTGATTATGCCTTCGTAACCAGTACATGCCTTTGATGCAGCAAATTGTTCTCGAGTAGCAAACATTGATGCGCTTCAAGGTGTACGTTGTTATTTGTACTAACCGTGTCATGATATGTCTCAACTTTGTGTACTGGTGTGCTCTGTTGCCTTTATTCGGTACAAATGCTACTAATAAAATGCCAGGAACATTTCAAGTCACCACACTGTAGCACGAAGCAAAGTACAAGCATGAATAGCTTAGTTTCACCGTAGCATGTCTTCATCGGTGTTGCCGTTACATCAAGCTTATTACCAGCATGTGTGTATCGGTGTTGCCGTAACATCAGGCTTAGTACCAGTATGTCTACATCGGTTTTGCCGTAATATCAGGCTTAATACCAGCATGTCTACATCGGTGTTGCCGTAACATAATTCTTACCAGCACGTCCACATCGGTGTTGCCGTAACATCAGGCTTAGTACCAGCATGTCCTCATCGATGTTGCCGTAACATCAGGCTTTGTACCAGCCTGTCCTCATCGGTGTTGACATAACATCAGGTTTAGTATCAGCATGCCCACCTCGGTGTTGCGGTAACATCAGGCGTTGTACCAGCATGTCCACATCGGTTTTGCCATAACTACAGGCTTAGTACCAGCATGTCCTCATCGATGTTGCCGTAACATCAGGCTGAGAGGCAGTATGTCCACATCGGTGTTGCCATAACATCAGGCTTTGTACCAGCATGTGTACATAAGTGTTGCTGTAACATCAGGCTGAGAGGCAGTATGTCCACGTCGGTGTTGCCATAACATCAGGCTTAATCCCAGCATGTGAACATAAGTGTTGCCGTAACATCAGGCTGAGAGGCAGTATGTCCACGTCGGTGTTTCCGTAACATCAGGCTTAACTACGAGCATGTCCACATCGGTGTTGCCGGCTGAGAGGCAGTATGCCCACATCAGTGTTGCCGTAACATCAGGCTGAGAGGCAGTATGTCCACATCGGTGTTGCCGTAACATCAGGCTTAATACCAGCCTGTGTACATAAGTGTTGCCGTAACATCAGGCTGAGAGGCAGTATGTCCAAAACGGTGTTGCCGTAACATCAGGCTAAGCACCAACATCTGTGTTACGGTGGCATCAGGCTGAGAGGCAGCATGTCTAATCTGTGTTACAGTGGCATCAGGCCGAGAGGCAGAATGTCTTATCTGTGTTACGGTGGCATCAGGCTGAGAGGCAGCATGTCTAATCTGTGTTACGGTGGCATCAGGCCGAGAGGCAGCATGTCTAAAATGTGTTACGGTGCTATCAGGCTGAGAGGCAGCATGTCTAATCTGTGTTATGGTGGCATCAAGCTGAGAGGCTGCATGTCTAATCTGTCTTATGGTGGCATCAGGCCAAGAGGCAGCATGTCTAATCTGTGTTACGGTGGCATCAGGCTGAGAGGCAGCATGTCTTATCTGTGTTACGGTGGCATCAGGCTGAGAGGCAGCATGTAAAATCTGTGTCACGGTCGCATCAGGCTGAAAGGCAGCTTGTCTAATCTGTGTTACGGTGATATCAAGCTGAGAGGCAGTATGTCTAATCTATGTTACGGTGGCATCAGGCTGAGAGGCAGTGTGTCAAATCTGTGTTACGGTGACATCAGGCTGAGAGGCAGCATGTTTAATCTGTGTGATGGTGGCATCAGGCTGAGAGGTAGCATGTCTTATCAGTGTTACGGTGGCATCAGGCTGAGAGGCAGCATGTCTAATCTGTGTTATGGTGGCATCAGGCCGAGAGGCAGCATGTCTAATCTGTGTTACGGTGCTATCAGGCCGAGAGGCAGCATGTTTAATCTGTGTTACGGTGCTATCAGGCCGAGAGGCAGCATGTCTAATCTGTGTTACGGTGGCATCAGGCCAAGAGGCAGCATGTCTAATCTGTGTTACAGTGGCATCAGGCCAAGAGGCAGCATGTGTAATCTGTGTTACGGTGGCATCAGGCCGAGAGGCAGCATGTCTAATCTGTGTTACGGTGCTATCAGGCTGAGAGGCAGCATGTCTAATCTGTGTTATGGTGGCATCAAGCTGAGAGGCAGCATGTCTAATCTGTCTTATGGTGGCATCAGGCCAAGAGGCAGCATGTCTAATCTGTGTTACGGTGGCATCAGGCTGAGAGGCAGCATGTCTAATCTGTGTTACGGTTGCATCAGGCTGAGAGGCAGCATGTATAATCTGTGTCACGGTCGCATCAGGCTGAAAGGCAGCTTGTCTAATCTGTGTTACGGTGGCATCAGGCCGAGAGGCAGCATGTCTAATCTATGTTACGGTGCTATCAGGCTGAGAGGCAGCATGTCTAATCTGTGTTATGGTGGCATCAAGCTGAGAGGCAGCATGTCTAATCTGTCTTATGGTGGCATCAGGCCAAGAGGCAGCATGTCTATTCTGTGTTACGGTGGCATCAGGCTGAGAGGCAGCATGTCTAATCTGTGTTACGGTGGCATCAGGCTGAGAGGCAGCATGTATAATCTGTGTCACGGTCGCATCAGCCTGAAAGGCAGCTTGTCTAATCTGTGTTACGGTGATATCAAGCTGAGAGGCAGTATGTCTAATCTGTGTTACGGTGGCATCAGGCTGAGAGGCAGTGTGTCAAATCTGTGTTACGGTGACATCAGGCTGAGAGGCAGCATGTTTAATCTGTGTGACGGTGGCATCAGGCCGAGAGGTAGCATGTCTAATCTGTGTTACGGTGGCATCAGGCTGAGAGGCAGCATATCTAATCTGTGTTATGGTGGCATCAGGCCGAGAGGTAGCATGTCTAATCTGTGTTACGGTGCTATCAGGCCGAGAGGCAGCATGTCTAATCTGTGTTACGGTGCTATCAGGCCGAGAGGCAGCATGTCTAATCTGTGTTACGGTGGCATCAGGCTGAGAGGCAGCATGTCTAATCTGTGTTACAGTGGCATCAGGCCGAGAGGCAGAATGTCTTATCTGTGTTACGGTGGCATCAGGCTGAGAGGCAGCATGTCTAATCTGTGTTACGGTGGCATCTGGCCGAGAGGCAGCATGTCTAATCTGTGTTACGGTGCTATCAGGCTGAGAGGCAGCATGTCTAATCTGTGTTATGGTGGCATCAAGCTGAGAGGCAGTATGTCTAATCTGTCTTATGGTGGCATCAGGCCAAGAGGCAGCATGTCTAATCTGTGTTACGGTGGCATCAGGCTGAGAGGCAGCATGTCTAATCTGTGTTACGGTTGCATCAGGCTGAGAGGCAGCATGTATAATCTGTGTCACGGTCGCATCAGGCTGAAAGGCAGCTTGTCTAATCTGTGTTACGGTGGCATCAGGCTGAGAGGCAGTGTGTCAAATCTGTGTTACGGTGACATCAGGCTGAGAGGCAGCATGTTTAATCTGTGTGATGGTGGCATCAGGCTGAGAGGTAGCATGTCTAATCTGTGTTACGGTGGCATCAGGCTGAGAGGCAGCATGTCTAATCTGTGTTATGGTGGCATCAGGCCGAGAGGCAGCATGTCTAATCTGTGTTACGGTGCTATCAGGCCGAGAGGCAGCATGTCTAATCTGTGTTACGGTGCTATCAGGCCGAGAGGCAGCATGTCTAATCTGTGTTACGGTGGCATCAAGCTGAGAGGCAGCATGTCTAATCTGTGTTACGGTGCTATCAGGCCGAGAGGCAGCATGTCTAATCTGTGTTACGGTGGCATCAGGCTGAGAGGCAGCATGTCTAATCTGTGTTACGGTGCTATCAAGCTGAGAGGAAGCATGTCTAATCTGTGTTACGGTGGTATCAGGCTGAGAGGCAGCATGTCTAATCTGTGTTATGGTGCTATCAAGCTGAGAGGCAGCATGTCTAATCTGTGTTACGGTGGCATCAGGCGAGAGGAAGCATGTCTAATCTGTGTTACGGTGGCATCAGGCTGAGGGGCAGCATGTCTAATCTGTGTTACGGTGCTATCAGGCTGAGAGGCAGCATGTCTAATCTGTGTTATGGTGGCATCAGGGTGTGAGGCAGCATGTCTAATCTGTGTTATGGTGGCATCAGGCCGAGAGGCAGTATGTCTAATCTGTGTTATGGTGGCATCAGGCTGAGAGGCAGCATGTCTAATCTGTGTTCAGTGGCATCAGGCTGAGAGGCAGTATGTCTAATCTGTGTTATGGTGGCATCAGGGTGAGAGGCAGCATGTCTAATCTGTGTTATGGTGGCATGAGGGTGAGAGGCGGCATGTCTAATCTGTGTTATGGTGGCATCAGGCCGAAAGGCAGCATGTCTAATCTGTGTTATGGTGCTATCAGCCTGAGAGGCAGCATGAATAATCTGTGTTATGGTGCTATCAGGCCGAGAGGCAGCATGTCTAATCTGTGTTGCGGCGGCATCAAGCTGAGAGGCAGCATGTCTAATCTTTGTTATGGTGCTATCAGGCCGAGAGACAGCATGTCTAATGTGTGTTACGGTGGCATCAAGCCGAGAGGCAGCATGTCTAATCTGTGTTGCGGTGGCATCAAGCTGAGAGGCAGCATGTCTAATCTGTGTTACGGTGCTATCAAGCCGAGAGGCAGCATGTCTAATCTGTGTTATGGTGGCATCAGGCTGAGAGGCAGTATGTCTAATCTGTGTTACGGTGCTATCAAGCCGAGAGGCAGCATGTCTAATCTGTGTTCCGTCGGCATCAGGCTGAGAGGCAGCATGTCTTATTTGTGTTACGGTGGCATCAGGCCGAGAGGCAGCATGTCTAATCTGTGTTATGGTGCTATCAGCCTGAGAGGCAGCATGTCTAATCTGTGTTATGGTGGCATCAGGCCGAGAGGCAGCATGTCTAATCTGTGTTGCGGCGGCATCAAGCTGAGAGGCAGCATGTCTAATCATTGTTATGGTGCTATCAAGCCGAGAGGCAGCATGTCTAATGTGTGTTACGGTGGCATGAAGCCGAGAGGCAGCATGTCTAATCTGTGTTACGGTGCTATCAGCCTGAGAGGCAGCATGTCTAATCTGTGTTACGGTGGCATCAGGCCGAGAGGCAGCATGTCTAATCTGTGTTATGGTGCTATCAGGCCGAGAGGCAGCATGTATAATCTGTGTTACAGTGGCATCAGGGTGAGAGGCAGCATATCTAATCTGTGTTATGGTGCTATCAAGCTGAGAGGCAGCATGTCTAATCTGTGTTAAGGTGGCATCAGGCTGAGAGGCAGCATGTCTAATCTGTGTTATGGTGCTATCAAGCTGAGAGGCAGCATGTCTAATCTGTGTTACGGTGGCATGAAGCTGAGAGGCAGCATGTCTAATCTGTGTTACGGTGCTATCAAGCCGAGAGGCAGTATGTCTAATCTGTGTTACGGTGGCATCGGGCTGAGAGGCAGTATGTCTAATCTGTGTTATGGTGGCATCAGGGTGAGAGGCAGGATGTCTAACGTGTGTTACGGTCGCATCAAGCCGAGAGGCAGCATGTCTAATCTGTGTTACCGTGCTATCAGGCTGAGAGGGAGCATGTCTATTCTGTGTTGCGGTGGCATCAGGACGAGAGGCAGCATGTCTAATCCATGTTGCCATGGTATCAAGCTGAGAGGCAGCATGTCTAATCTTTGTTATTGTGCTATCAGGCTAAGAGGCAGTATGTCTAATCTGTGTTACGGTGCTATCAGCCTGAGAGGCAGCATGTCTAATCTGTGTTATGGTGCTATCAGGCCTAGAGGCAGCATGTCTAATCTGTGTTGCGGTGGCATCAAGCTGAGAGGCAGCATGTCTAATCTGTGTTATGGTGCTATCAAGCCGAGAGGCAGTATGTCTAATCTGTGTTACGGTGGCATCGGGCTGAGAGGCAGTATGTCTAATCTGTGTTATGGTGGCATCAGGGTGAGAGGCAGCATGTCTAATCTGTGTTATGGTGGCATCAGGCTGAGAGGCAGCATGTCTAATCTGTGTTACAGTGGCATCAGGCTGAGAGGAAGCATGTCTAATCTGTGTTACGGTGCTATCAGGCCGAGAGGCAGCATGTCTAATTTGTGTTTTGGTGCTATCAGGCCGAGAGGCAGCATGTCTAATCTGTGTTACGGTGGCATCAGGCTGAGAGGCAGCATGTCTAATCTTTGTTATGGTGCTATCAGGCCGAGAGGCAGCATGTGTAATGTGTGTTACGGTGGCATCAAGCCGAGAGGCAGCATGTCTTATCTGTGTTACGGTGCTATCAGCCTGAGAGGCAGCATGTCTAATCTGTGTTATGGTGCTATCATGCTGAGAGGCAGCATGTCTAATCTGTGTTGCGGTGGCATCAGGCCGAGAGGCAGCATGTCTAATCTGTGTTGCGGTGGCATCAAGCTGAGAGGCAGCATGTCTAATCTGTGTTACGGTGCTATCAAGCCGAGAGGCAGCATGTCTAATCTGTGTTATGGTGGCATCAGGCTGAGAGGCAGTATGTCTAATCTGTGTTACGGTGCTATCAAGCCGAGAGGCAGCATGTCTAATCTGTGTTACGGTGGCATCAGGCTGAGAGGCAGCATGTCTTATTTGTGTTACGGTGGCATCAGGCCGAGAGGCAGCATGTCTAATCTGTGTTACGGTGGCATCAGGCTGAGAGGCAGCATGTCTAATCTGTGTTACGGTGGCATCAGGCCGAGAGGCAGCATGTCTAATCTGTGTTACGGTGGCATCAGGCTGAGAGGCAGCATGTATAATCTGTGTTGCGGTGGCATCAGGCTGAGCACTAATATGTGTTCTATCAGCTCAATATTATCCACAATGCCGGTAATAATTACTTCTGCGAATGATGAAGCTCGTTTTTACTCTTTTCGGAAAATATAAATGTACAAGTGTGCTCCCAAACTCCGGCGCGTAATACGAGGCTTATTACCGCACTCTGTGAGATATATGAAGTGAAAATTACAGGAAATTAACCATGAAGGGTGGTCAGAGAGGAGCACTTTAACCATAGGTGCACTTTTAAGCAAGTCCAAAAGTAATGCACAATATATGAATTATCTGAAAAAAATGAAAATACGTTAATTAGGAAATGTTTCCGTGGAAGCCTCGATCTTCTGGATGCAGAATAGCTCTCGGTTTTGTGTTGGCGAAGGTTTCATCTCGTCAACGCCACAATGGATCAAGGAGCAATTTAAGAAAAAAGGTTCTAGACTAGGGTTTAATGTGGTTTCTAAAGCCGATCGGTTGAACATGGCTAGTTACATGGCTGTATCATATTTAAATACATCGCTAGATAAATAACTAGATACATATATACATGCGAAATAGACAGCTAAATGCATGGTTAAATACCTCTCTAGGTCCATGGCTAAATGATATATACTTGGCTAGATACATGGCTAGCTGTAGGTTCATAGTTAAATACAAAGCTAGATCTAAAACTAAATACATATATACTTGGCGAGACACACGGCTTAATGGATGTTAAATACATCGCAAGATACATGACGAAGACCAGGGTTCCGCCCCCAACATAGGTGCAATGTACGATGCTCACTTCGATGCCCCCCAAATATATTTCTGAAATTGTGCTGAAAGCGGCATAAAACTATATTCACTTACTCATTCTGCTGTAAATGCTATCCACCTTCGAATTATTCGATTTTTCCTAGGATTTGGAAAATATGCACCAAACATTGCAATAAATAGGGAAGTAAGTTGGATCCCGCCAGATATGAGATCATGGACAACAGTCTCAAGACGCTGGGTCAGACTTGTTAATACCCAAAACAGGAGAGTAACAATGAAGATATTCTGTGGTGAAGCAATGTTAAAGTAACGTCATGTCTTGAGAGAATCGACCTAGGACATTTAACAAGCATACATCCCCAAATTGAAATCAATTTATTTGTTTCAATGGTGCAAGAACGCCTTTTGTTGGAATATAGGTCTAAATGGAGGGACAATGGAGAAACGTGAAACCGTTGAAGAAACAAACTAAGAAGCTACAGAAAAATACGTGGAATACCCTCTCAATCGTGCTCACAGGAGCTCTCCAGCTAAATTCAGATGCGGAGTGGCGCCTTTAAAGATAGAGGCTGGACGTTACACAAACATACCATCAGAAGAGAGATGTTGCTTTAATTCTACAGACCAGGTAGAAGACGAGATCCATGATTTACTTCCTTGCTCTTTATACGACGACGTGAGGGTTGATCTTCGTAATCGCTGTAATCGTAAATTGATAAATTTTAATAATTACTTTTATTGTGAAAAGTTTACACAGATTTGATCAAACATTGGTTTTATTTCTTACGTGGCCAAAACCTGCCATCACATTATGGCAAAACGACGTTCCATTTTATATCATTGATGTTTATATGTATATATATACTGAACACCAAAAGAAACGTCACCATGGATAGATATGTGAGAAACCTTATTAAACACTGTAAACATACTTTGAGACATATTAAAAAGATTAAACTTGGCAAAACTGTCAAATGTTCTTAAAGTGAAACACAACACTAGACTCTAAGAAAATGGCATCACAAGTCAGTATCTCGTGTGTCCGCCATGAACATTGATGACTGCCGTGCAACGTCGGTACATGGAATGGATGAGGCGGTTGATAAAGGCCATAGGCACTCACTCTGAGGAACGCCTGACGCAGTTCAGCTGCAGTTGTCGGCCTTGGTCGGACGTCATTCAGCCGTCTTTGAATCTCGTCCCACAGGTGCGCAGTGGGATTTAAATCGGGACTGAGGGCAGGCCACTGCATGGTTCTGATGCCATTCTGCTGGAGAAAGCCTCTTGTTACTCTCGCAGTGTGGGCACGGGCGTTATCATGCTGAAACTCGTGGTTGCGGCTACGTGCCAAATGAGGTATGACGTGCGGTCTCAAGACTTGATCAATGTACCGAGCTGCTGTGACACTATTGCCTCTCCCTGGAACGATGTTCTGGAAGACCACAGAGCAAGACCAATTCCACCCAACACCATGATGCTCGGACCTCTCTCTCTCTCTCTGCCATCTGCTGTTGAGAAGAGGACTCTTCTCCACTGCTGGTGGTGTCAGAATGGGTCCTCGGTGTGGCCTATGACAGTGGAGGTGTCTGCTCGTCGATCGTCGACGCACGGTGTCCGCACTAAGGTGTCGCTGGTGTGTCCCCATGGTCTGTCGAGCAGTTTCCGCAGCAGTAACAAAGCGATCTTTAAGATGCTGTCGCACAATCTGACGTTCCTAACGTCTGGTGGTGACCCTTGGTCTTCCACTACGTGGTCGGTCATCTGTAATGTTGGTGGTTTGGTACCGTTGCTGGAGCCTGTATACGGTCATTACGTGGACTTGCATTGGCTACTTGCCGGGCAGTTTGTCCAATCGTCCAAGGGCTTGGTGTCGCTTATTTTTTGTCAATCTTGGCATGTGGTAGCAATTCAATAACGAATGAATGTTTTCGATCTGGGTGGATTTTTATAGGTCAAGAAATGGGGAAACGCATGTGCTTTTCAACTTGAACGGAACTCACGTGCATCGGGTTACCATGGCCGTTGCCGTGATGCGTTTGGGCGCTCGGTTGTATTGTCATCTGCTTTGTTTTTTCTATCATCTATCATTTCATTTTTCCGGACAAGGTAATGTTAAATTTTAGAAACTTTGACAAAAATTACCCAGATATTTACATGACAACTTTTCATGCAACGTTACTTGGGGTGACGTTTCTTTTGTGATTCAGTATATTCGCTGTGTGTCACTGTTTATTGTAATGACATATTTTCTCTCGTAAGTCGTCAAGCGACTGGTTGTAGAGTTATGGTTATACTTCTTGTCATATAACTGCATTCTACGAGTGAGACGAAACTAAACTTGTCTGTCTATCTGCAAACCATCAGAGTTAACCATCGAGTCTTCAATCCAAGCGCTTCTTAATCCAACAAGTTCACGCCAAAGACCCGGGTTCGATTCCCGACATGGGTACAATGTGTGAAGCCCATTTCTGGTGTCCCCCGCCGTGATATTGCTGGAATATTGCTAAAAGCGGCGTAAAACCATACTCACTCACTCACTAATCCAACAAGTACATGTACGCTTACAATATCTAACGCCACTGTGTTGTGTCCCAAACATGCATAGAAGCTGGTAGTTATAGCATCATGTATAATGCAGACAGGAAATGTCTTTGCGATGTATTGATAATTTTTAAATATTTTTTTTATAATATTTGTATTTCAATTGGCGTATTGATAGTAAG